AAAAAAATTTTTTTTTTTTTTTTTTTTTTTTTTTTGCAGCTGGCCGGTGTGGGGATCCAAACCCGTGACCTTGGTGTTATCAGCACCATACTCTCCCCAAGTGAGCTAACCAGTCTGTCCCAAATGCTGTTAATTTTTGTCTGTATAACTATTAGACACATTAGAGAAGAAAGAAGTAAGGCTGATAACAGTTCTATTCACACCAAAAATTATGGATAGTTAAGAGAACTAGGAATTGGATACAGAACCTATTAAATCAAATTCCCAATTCTCCCTGAAATGCTCATTTTAAAGGGCTTTGGGATAAAACCTAACATGTTCTTAAAGGCAATCGCTGTGTATTTCCTATATTGAAGTCCAAGGAAAAATAGGAAGCAGTTTAGAAGAGAGTCCACAGATGCTCTGCCATTCAGGAAACTTTTGGAAGATGCAAAATTATAAACTTATAGGGTTAAGAAGCAATTTTATAAATAAAGTAGTTATAAAAACAAAATTGAGATAAAAAGTCAATGATATTTTATAGTAATACATTACTTAGGACTAGTAAAATTTTTGATAGCTAGATAATCTTTGTCAAACTCTTACATAATATTAAATATGTATGGAAATCCTAAAAAAGAAGCTTATAGTTTAAGAATACCAAAAGATAGGTTAACCAGCATATTTTAACAACTTGTACAGAGTGTTAATCACAGTGTCTACAGAGTTTCTGTGTGACTCCTTTCACAAGCCAAATAATAGGTTTCTCATTTTTCTCTTTAAAACTGCATACTCTGAGAAGCAAAAAGTCAACATGACAATTAAAATTTTTCACCAACATATAACTCGCACATCTCTGATAAGGCCATGTATCATTTCCAATGAACTTTACGCATCTAAGATTTTATTACACATGGATACTAGGTTTGGGTATATATTATATTACATCCCTGAGCCCAGTATGCTGAAGTCAAAATTCTACAAATATCATGACTGGGGAAAAAAAAATAAGAAAATGGCTCAGTTCCAAGACACAACTCTGCAGTACACATATAAATACTGCTCTCCGAGATCCTCTGCTCCCTTCATATTTTTGATATTTTTATCCAGGCTGTCCATTTTTCCTATTCCTCTTCATTCCTTTGGCCATTCTTCCATAACCTCTCCTGTCCTCCCTAGACTCCAATATTCCCCAAGCTCACAATTTTTCTTTCTAGCCTTTATGTTCTTCCACAAACTGCCAGTGCTCTTCCACAGACCGAAGCTCCCTAACTAAAGATGGTTATTGATGTACAGTACCGGTGTTTTAGTGCAGCAGCAGAATCAATAAACAAGAAAATACTGCTTTGTCAGGCTTCAGCAAAGCATTCTGGGAAACTTTACTGCTTTGGGTGGTTACAGAAACTCTTAATATGAGAGAGCGGAGCCGGGCTCCCTTCTGTGGTGAGAAATGATGCTCTTCTACCCTCTAGTGACTATAAAGGAATAAGGCAAAAGTTGGAGGAATTTTTGAGACAGCTTCATGTTATTTTTATTTCTTAAAAACCAGAGTCTTGGCAACCAGGTGAACTGGTAGGATAACAAAGCCCCTTATCATAGTTATTTTAAAATGTTCAAAATGCAAGCAATAGATATTTTAGTAAGTATGAGTCAGAACTTTGGTTCCTTTGGAAAGTTCCTTTTGGGTCAGAACTTTGGTTCCTTTGGATTTCTTTGGAAAGTTTGGCTTTAAGGGACTAGTGCTAGTCAGGTTAAAATTCTCCACCCGTTTCCCTCCCGACACACACAAACTCACAGAATCTTTGAGCTGGAAGTGCTCCCAGTTTCCAACTCCTTGTTGCACAGAGAAGGAAGCACTAAGGTACACTGAAGTTAGAAGTTAGAGCTGGCACACACGTGTGCACATATGTGTGAGTGTGCAAGTACATTCATACACAGATTGCCTACACAACCTCTTCCCACCACGCATACACACCACCACCACCCCATTCAGAAATTGAACTAAATAGCCTGAAATATTGCATCATTTAATAGTAATTATTTTGTGTAGATTATTTCTCTTTAAAAAGCGGCAGATCTGCTAAATTGTTATAAATACATTTTTCTAGTTTCATTTGCTTATTTTACACTAATTGTCACATTCGGTACCTTA